CTGAATACCTATGCTTTCAGGATAATGTTCTTCAAAGTACAGTTCTGAACCACCAGCATCAGAATAAACTGGTAAGATAAATGAAGAGTGCAGGTTCCTGGGCTCCTTCCTGGACCTAGCAAATCACAGTTTCTAGAGTAGAGCTAGGAAATTTACATTTGAAAAATATATCTCCCAAATGATTGGTCATTTTTTAAAAAAATATTGAGACATAACACACATACGATAAAATTCACCCATTTAACGTATATAGCTCAGTGGTCCTGGTACATTCACAGAATTGTACAATCTGATTTTAGAACATTTTCATCATCCTGAAAAGAAATCCTGTACTCATTAACAGTCATTTCCTATTCCCTATCCCCCCAGCCACCTCAGCCTTAGACAACCACTAGTTTGCTTTCTGGCTCTATAGATTTGTCTATTCTGGACATTTCGCATAAATGGAATTATAAAATATGTGGGCTTCTGTGTTTGGCTTGTTTTACTTAGCATGTTTTCAAGGTTCATCTATGTTGTAGCATGTATGAATACTTTTTAAATTTTACCCAGGTAGGGGCGCCTGGGTGGCTCAGTTGGTTAAGCGACTGCCTTCGGCTCAGGTCATGATCCTGGAGTCCCTGGATCGAGTCCCGCATCGGGCTCCCTGCTCGGCAGGGAGTCTGCTTCTCCCTCTCCCACTCCCCGTTTGTGTTCCCTCTCTCGCTGTGTCTTTCTCTGTAAAATAAATAAATAAAATCTTTAAAAAAATAAATAAATAAAATAAATTTTACCCAGGTATAGTCCATTGAATAGATAGACCACATTTTGTTTATCCATTCATAACAAACAGAATGGATATTTGTCTTGTTTCCACTCTTTAGGTATTATGAATAATAACTATGAACAAGCTATGGACAGTCATGTGCAAGTTTTTGTGTGGATATATGTTTCATTTCTCTTGAATATTAACTAGGAGTGGAATTGCTGGGTCACATGGCAACTCTAGGTTTAACATATTGAGGAACTGCCAAACCTTCTTCCAAAGTGCCTACAGCATTTTACATTCCCATCATGAGGGTTCCAATTTCTCCGCTTCCTTACCAATGCTTGTGATTATCTGCCTTTTATTATAGCCACCCCCATGGGTGAGAAGTAATATCTCATTGTGGTTTTGATTTGTATTTCCCTAATAACTAATACTGTTGGGCATTTTTCACATCCTTATTGGCCATTTTTGTCTCTTTTTGGAGCTATGTCTATTCCAATCCTTTGCCTACTTTTTTAAGGCTTTTATTTTGAAGTAATCTCTACATCCAATGTGGGGCTCAAACTTACAACTCTGAGATCAAGAGTCACATACTCCATCAACCAGGCACCCCATCCTTTGCCCATTTTTTTTTTTTAAGATTTTATTTATTTATTTGACAGAGACACAGCGAGAGAGGGAACACAAGCAGGGGGAGTGGGAGAGGGAGAAGCAGGCTTCCTGCCGAGCAGGGAGCCTGATGAGGGGCTTGATCCCAGTACCCTGGGATCATGACCTGACCCAAAGGCAGACACTTAACGACTGAGCCAACCAGGCGCCCCTCCTTTGCCCATTTTTAAAAATGATTTATTTATTTATTTATGAGAGAGAGTGCGCATGAGCAGGGGTAGGGTCAGAGGGAGAGGGAGAGAAATCCTCAAGCAGACTCCCGTTGAGCACAGAACCTGACTCAGGGCTCTATCCCAGGACCCCAAGATCATGACCCAAGCGGAAATCAAGAGTCAGCCGCTCAACCAACTGAGCCACGCAGGTGCCCCCTCTGCGTGTTTTTAATTGGATTCTTTATCTTCTATTATTGAGTTATAAAAGTTCTCCATATATTCTGAACAAAAGTCCCTAATCAGATATATGATTTGGAGATATTTTCTCCCATTCTGTGGGTTGTCTTTTTACTTCTTGATGGTTTCCTTTGGAGCACAAGGTTTTAATTTTGATGAGATCCAATTTCTTTCTTTCTTTCGTTGCCTGTGCTTTTTGTGTTGTATCTAAAAAACCATTGCCTAACTCAAGGTCATGGAGATTTACTCCTAGGTTTTCTTCTAGGCATCTCATAGTTTTAGGTCTAATATTTAAGTCTATGATCCAAACTCATATTTAAGAAGCACTAGCTTGGGTCTACCTTATAATGGCTTTTCCCAAAGATAATCCTCACCCTAAGAAGATTTTTTTTTTGAATATTCATCATAGCTTTATTCACAATGGCTAAAACCTGGAAACTACACAGATATCCATTAATAGGTGAATGTACAGACAGGATATATCCATACAGAGGAATACTACTTAGCAATAAAAAAGTCTGAACTGGTGATACCTGTAGTAATATGGATAGATTTAAGAATCCTTAAGCTGCACAAAGGAATGTAGGCATAAGAGTTCCTTTAATGTTGTTAAAAATGCAAGCCCACCTATAGTGCTGGTGGTTGCCTGGGGCTCAGGGTAGAGGCAGAGATAGACTGCAAAGGGACACAAGGGAAGTTGTGAGGTAGAGGAAATGCCCTGTGTCTTGAATGGAGCAGTAGTTTCATTTGTATGTATGCTGTGAAAATGCATTTAATTGTACAGTTTATTTTTTTTTAATTTTTATTTTTTTGAGAAAGCACTCAGACTGCATCCTCTCCTGCTTACTCCTCCAAAGGAGGAGAATGATCATAGATGGCAATTTGTAGTTGTGGGAACAACACCTACAGCTGGCTTCATGGGGTGCCTGGGTGGCTCAGTTGTTAAGCGTCTGCCTTTGGCTCAGGTCATGATCCCAGGGTCCTGGGATCCAGCCGGCATCTGGCTCCCTGCTCTGCAGGAGGCCTGCTTCTCCCTTTCCCACTCCCTCTGCTTGTGTTCCCTCTCTCGCTGTCAAATAAAAAATATATATATATTTTAAAGATTTAATTATTTATTTGACAGAGAGAGACACATCTCTTCAACTACTCAAGTCTCATAAAGGCGGGGGTGGGGGGAATTTTGTCACTGCAATATTCCCCAACACCCAGTATAGGACCAGGGGATATAGTAATCTTTTAAAAATATACACTTGACTACGTCACTTTTTGGTTTAAAATCCTCCAATGGTACTTGGATTACACTTTGAATAAAGTCCAAATTCCCAACCATGGCAAACAGGTCCCTACCTGATTGGCCACTATCTGCCTCTCCACCCATACCTTCTACTACTCTCTCCACTTGGAACATACTTGTTTTCTTTCCCAAACACATCTTGCTGTTTCCTGAATCAGTCTGTTTCTTCCACTTGTCAGCTCTGATTAGTTTCTCATCCTTTGGGTCTCAGCTCAAATGTTTCCTCTTCCCAGAGCCTTCCCTGACCGCCCTGTCCAGTGTTACCAACACACTTCCACCATCTTTTTTTTTTTTTTTAAGATTTTATTTATTTGAGAGAGAGAGCGGGTGAGCACACAAGCGGGAGGAGGGGTAGAGGGAGAGGGAGAAGCAGATTCCCTGATGAGCAGGGAGCCAAGGCGGGGCTCCATCCCAGGACCCAGGGATCACAACCTGAGTGGAAGGCAGCTGCTTAACCGATTGAGCCCCCAAGAGCCCCCCACCAAGTTATTCTTGATCATACAACCTGTTCCATCTTATTCACAGACCTGAAATTTCCTTATATATTTAATATTAATTATTATAGCTAACACTTAAATACCATAAGCACTTTTCATACATTAACTAAGTGGTGTGCTACTTAATGCTTATCAATAAGCTCTCCAAAGTCCAAAACTCTGATTTGTAGTGCTTGCTGACTTCTGTGTGTAAACAGTCTCCTCAGGGAGGGTTTTCAAGCTATCAAACTGACGTCAGTGAACACCAGTTTGGGAATTGACATGCAGTAGCACACCATTATACAGTATTTGCCATAGTAATATAGTAGTGATAAATAACCTCAAGAGCACAGATAAAACAAAAATGTAGTAAAATAATTAGGAAGTAATTTGCATATTTATTACCTTGTTTTAATATTGTAAGTCTATATAATTTAATTCTTGATAATTGTGTTTATTTTTTTTATTTTTAAGATTTTATTTATTTATTTGACAGAGAGAGACACAGCAAGAGAGGGAACACAAGCAGGGGGAGTGGGAGAGGGAGAAGCAGGCTTCCCGCGGAGCAGGGAGCCCGATGCGGGGCTCGATCCCAGGACCCTGGGATCATGACCTGAGCCCAAGGCAGACGCTTAGGCGCCGGGATAATTGTGTTTAAAAGCGACCTGCAAAATTTCTAAGCATTCCTCAATCATTTCTAGAGAGTCCATAGGGACGGGCGGACTAACAACCAGCATATTTTTCAGATGAGGGACCTGAGGCACAGAAAGGTTGGCTGCAGACCAAATAAATCTGTCTACTACTCCAAAATGTATTTTCAGAACCCAATATAGTGCCTGGCATATTATTTGACAGAGAGCGAGAGAGCACAAGCAGGGGGAGCGGCAGAGGGAGAGGGAGAAGCAGGCTCTCCACTGAGCAGGTAGCCCCATGTGGGACTCGATTCCAGGACCCTAGGATCACGACCCCAGCGGAAGACAGACGCTTAACCGCTTAAGCCACCACTGAGCCACCGAGGCGCCGCATAAATAAATCTTAAAAAAAACCACCAACAAAAAAACCCCTTTAAAAACAAAAGGGAAACATCCTAACATTAAAAGCATTTACACAAGTGCTCGCTTCCGCAGCACATATACTAAAAAAAAAAGGCATTTACACAAGAGTGAAATTAACAACTCTTCAAAACTTGCTCACTACCCTAGGAAGATACGCCTTCACTAGTCCACTTTCGGCCTCACCCAGCGCTTTTACAATATACCTGCTATTTTAGGAGACGCCGCCCAACCCTATGCTGGGAGCTTGAGACGCCCGGCTCTACGTCGTCCCGCCCCTACGTCGTCCCGCCCCGTCCTCCCGCAAGGCTTCCTGGGAGCGGTAGTCCCCAGTCTGTGTGCTCCCGCGGCAGCAGCAAGGCTCACTTGACCGCGGAACTACAGAGGGTGGCGCACAGGTCGGGAGGCTTTTCCGCCTCGCGTTTCCCTCCCGCCTGCGCGCCCGCCCCAGCTATCATGGCGGCTCCCTTGGCTCTGGTGGTGGTGGTGGCCGTGACCGTGCGGGCGGCCTTGTTCCGCTCCAGTCTGGCCGAGTTCATTTCCGAACGGGTGGAGGTGGTGTCCCCACTGAACTCTTGGAAGAGAGGTGAGGCCACTGGCTGGAGTAGGTGGCTAGGCCCCGCTTGTGCTCTCCTGGCCTCAGTGAATGGGAGGCGGGGGCAATGGCCTTAAGCTCAAGATTCTGAGGGAACTGACCCGCTCTGGCGTCCTCGGGGAGGGCAGGAGGGCGGGGCCCGAGGGCGGGGCTGCCAAAGGGAGGGGGCGAGGGACTGTGGGGCGAGCTTTGGGCCCTAGGGGCAGGCACAGAGCGGAGGCGAGTTGAGGGGGTGTGTCCCCCTCGGGTCCTGAGCAGAGGGGCGTGGTCTGAGGCAAGATAGGTATAAGGAAAGGGAATGCTTAATGGAGTGGGAGTTGCAGAGGGGATTGGGATTTGATGAGGGATCGCAGGTGGTACTCCCTGGGGTATGGTATGGTGTGTGAGGGGGACCCCCAAGTGAGGGGACCAATCTTGCCTAAGCGAGTAGAGTGTGTGAATGTGCTTTGACTCCTGTTCTCAGTTTGGGACTTGCAGTGAACCATTTCTTAGTGTTTATTCTTAAGTTCTTCATCAGGCGCTGTTTTCTACCAGCGCTTACAGTGAGATAGAGTTTATGCTGAAGGATCCACAGACTAGTGGGGGAGACAGTTATAATCCTTTTTGAAAAATGTTCTTCCTGTGTACATCCAGTTTCTTCCTTGGAGTTTCAACCCTGAAGAAAGTGTCCTCTCCTTTTCCAGTTTCCTAAGGCTGTGGGCTCTGAGCTAACTGTTGAAGGATGTAGAATTTGGAAAGGGAGATTAGAGAAAGGAGAGTTCTAGGTAGCCGAAGGTAAACAGGATCAAGAAAATGTTGAAGAGTGCGAAATGTAAAAATTGGGGGAGTAATGGGGCACGGGTTAGGTTAGGGCCAGAATTTAAAGATTTTTTTAAAAAACTTTTTTACTAAAGTGCAATATACATACAATGCACATGTAATAAGTGTAGAGTTCAGTGAAATTTTTTTTTTAAAGATTTTATTTATTTATTCATTAGAGACAGAGAGAGAGAGGCAGAGGGAGAAGCAGGCTCCCACAGGGAGCCCGATGCGGGACTCGATTCCAGGACCCTGAGATCATGACCTGAGCCGAAGGCAGACGCTTAACCATCTGAGCCACCCAGGCGCCTGAGTTCAATGAATTTTTATAAACTGCCTACACTCATGTAACCAGCACCCAGATCAAGAAACAGAACATTACAGAAGTAACAGCACCCCAGAAGTACTCTAAGTTCAAATGTCCTTGAACTTAGTTTTTTTTTTTTTTAAGATTTTGTTTGTTTATTTGAGAGAGAGAGAGCATGTGCAGGGGGAGGAGCAGAGGGAGAGGGAGAAGCAGACTCCCCTTTGAGCAGGGAGCTGGACGTGGGGCTGGATCCCATGACTCCAGGATCATGACCTGAGCTGAAGGCAGCTGCTTAACCAACTGAACCACCTAGGCACCCGTGTTCTTGAACTTTAAATGCTAGAGTTTTGATGTTACCCCATAGACATTTTGGAATGGGTAATGGCATGATGAATGGTTGTTTTATGAATAATTTGAGTTTAGGTTTCTAAAAATACTATATTAAAGGCTATGGTAAGCCTCTTTTATCCTCTAGTTATTCTCTGTGTTCGATGGTGCTATTTCCCCCATTTTACAGATAAGGAAACTAAAATTTAGAGAAGTTAAGTAATATGCCCAAGTTTCCCAGTTGACAGATGGTAATAAAGTTAATAGCAATTCTTCTGTGTGATGGTGAGACTTTAGACTTGATAATCCTTGAATATAATACTTGCATATAATATTTGTTGAACAAACTGAATTGTTTGGGTGGAAGCCACATGGTTCCTGCTTTCTTCTGGATACCAGAAGCCCCAGGGCAGTATTAGGCCCTCCTTCCTCTGTTCTCTTAGCACTTTATACATACCTCTACTGAGAGCATGTCTCACTTTTTATCATAATTATTTCTTTATATCTGGTTTCTCCACTGTACTATGAGTTCCTTGAAGGCCAGAACTGTTCTGTTCATTCCTGAATCCTTTGTGCCTGGCATAGAGTAGTTGCATCGTTACTGATGAATAAATACTGAAGAAAAGAAAACATAAGCTGTGGTTACATATAGGATGGACAGGGTGAAGGATCCAAAGATGAGGCAACATAGTATGGTGACTCAGAGCACAGGGTCTGGGATATATATATATTTTCTAAGTTGGCTCCATGCCCAGTGTGGAGCCCAACACAGGATTTGAACTCACCACCTGAGATCAAGACCTGAGCCAAGATCAAGAGTTGGATGGTTAATGACTGAGCCACCCAGGTGCCCCAGGTCTGGGATCTTTAAAATGGTTTAAATCCTTTTTTCCTCTGCCACTTATATCTGTGTGATCTCCAACATCAGTTTTGTCATCTGTAAAATAGGAAGTTATAATATGTACCCCATTAAATGAGATAATCCATGTTGAAGCTCTTAGCACAATACTGAAAGCCAAAATAGCTAATTCTAGGAATTTGAATTTATTTTATTTTATTTTATTTTTTTAAAGATTTTATTTATTTATTTGACAGAGACAGCAAGAGAGGGAACACAAGCAGGGGGAGTGGGAGAGGGAGAAGCAGGCTCCCCGCTGAGCAGGGAGCCCGATGCGGGGCTCAATCCCAGGACTCTGGGATCATGACCTGAGCCGAAGGCAGACGCTTAACGACTGAGCCACCCAGGCACCCCTAGGAATTTGAATTTAAATAATAGGGAGAACAGTGGTGATACTGACTGAAATACATGGATTCAGAAAGGACAGCAGTAAGTGATGTGTATAAGGTGTAGTATAATATTCAAAGGTTTAGGTCTGGAGCTTGGGGCCAGTGTCAGACCTAGAGAGAGAGATTTGGTAGTCACCCATCTGAATCTGATTGGGTCAGGATAATTGTTTGTCCTGTTTTAAATGGGGATAGTGGGTGGAGGGATGGTACAACATCTGTAAGTATCACTTGTCTTCAGAGTATATGTTAAGATGGGATATTTTAAAAAGCAAGTGATTGTATTTAACCCTAAAAGGCAGGCATTTAAAAAATAGGAGCCCTTCTGGTCTCACATGACATTCATTATTCATTCATTTCACATGAGTTTTTTGAGTGACCAGTTGTTTAGGTGAAGGGCTGTGGATCCAAATAGATTTTGGTAGGCGGACTGATTTTTTTTTTTTTTTTTTAAGAGAGGGTGTGTTCATGTGTGGGTGCTAGCGGAGGGATGGGGAGGGGCAGAGGGAGAGGAGACAGAGAATCTTACGCAGGTTCCACGCCTAGTGTGGAGCCCAACTTGGGGCTTGATCTCATGACTCTGAGATCATGACCTGAGCCAAAATCAAGAGTGGGATTCTTAACCAACTGGGCCACCCAGGTGCCCCTCACGGACTGATTTTTAATAGGAATAAATGAGAGGTTGTATACTTGGAGGGGATGATTCTTGTCTTCAAATATCTGAAACGTTTTATTTTTTTTTTTTTTAAGATTTTTTTATTATTTATTTATTTGAGACAGAGAGAATGAGCGACAGAGAGCATGAGAGGGAGAAGCAGACTCCCTGCCGTGGAGGGAGCCCGATGCGGGACTCGATCCCGGGACTCCGGGATCATGACCTGAGCCGAAGGCAGTCGCTTAACCGACTGAGCCACCCAGGCGCCCCTGAAACGCTTTAAATTGGCGTGTTGTCACGTTCTTTCATGTGCAGATGACAGAATCCCAACTCAAACTGCCCAAATTATAATAAAAAGTGAACTTCCTGGTCTATATAACAGAACAATCCAAGATAGGTCCTGACTTCAGTCCTACCTGGATCCAGACTCAATGATCTCATCAGGACTAATTCTCTCTCCATCTTGGCATTGACTGCATTCAGGAGGGCTCTTCTTGGGTATTGGCAAGATAGGCCCCTAATAGTCTCTGACTTTTAAATCCTTACAGTATCAGGTCCAGTGGAAAGAGGGTGACTGTTCTTCAATAAGCATAACAAAAGCTGAGTCACATTGAACTTATTTGGGTAATATGCCAGTTCTTAAGCCAGTTACTGTGGTCATGTATCTATTTCTACCTCTGGAGCCCCTGGCTGGCTCAGTGGTGGAGTGTGTGACTCTGGATCTTGGGAGTGTGGGTTCGTGCCCCACGTAGGGTGTAGAGATCACTTAAAAAAATGAAATCTTTAAAAAAAAAAAAGAAATAGGGCACCTGGGTGGCTCAGTTGGTTAAGCGACTGCCTTCAGCTCAGGTCATGATCTTGGAGTCCTGGGATCAAGTGCTGCATCGGGCCCCCTTCTTAGCAGGGAGTCTGCTTCTCCCTTTGACCCTCACCCCTCTCATTCTCTCTCTTGCAAATAAATAAATAAAATCTTAAAATAAATAAATAAAGATTAATATATATATACCTACCTCTTTGGAGAGGGGGCAACCTCCCAAACTGTGGAAGAAGGGGGTATCCCATAGGAAAATTATAGTGCTGTTACTAGAAGAGGGGGAAATTGATGCTGGGAGGCAAACATAACATATCCATTATAATAGGAAAGACATCTTTTCTATGTCACTCATTTCTACAGACCTGTCAGTTTATTTGATAGTCCAACTACAATGTATACAGATTTCTTGCTTGACAAAGTGCAAGCATGTGTTTCTCATTCCAGTAAAAATAATAACTAATGCTGATACAATGCTTTCTATATGACGGCCCCTGTTGTAAGCATTTTAAATATGTTCAAGAACTAATTTAATCACCACAATCGGGGCGCCTGGGTGGCTCAGTCGTTAAGCATCTGCCTTCGGCTCAGGTCATGATCCCAGGGTCCTGGCATGGAGCCCCGCATCGGGCTCCCTACTCGGCGGAAAGCCTGCTTCTCCCTCTCCCACTCCCCCTGCTTGTGTTCCCTCTCTCACTGTGTCTCTCTCTGTCAAATAAATAAATAAAATCTTTAAAAAAAAAAAATCACAATGGCCCTAAGATATAAATGTCCCTACACATAAATACCTATTTTATAGATGAGAAAAT